TGGTTTGGGAGGGAAAGGCATGGGTTTCTGAACCCATGGTTCTCTTTCTTTACCATGCTTCCTAGCAACAAAGTCTGATCATAACATTGATTCTTTGATTGTGGGTTATCAAGATCAACAGCAGGTTCAATTTCTATATCAGTATCATTACTAGGTTGAGCATCATCATGAACATTATCATTAACATTATCACTAGTTTCAGGTTCATTACCAGATTGTGTTTCAGCATCAGAAATAGAAATATCATTTGGATTCTCAGGTGTTTCAGCGATAGGTTCACTAGGAACATGCAAAGTTCTATCATTTTTCTTTTTCTTTCTTTTAGAAGGACTAGGTGCATCTATATTATTTCTCTGAGAATCTTGCTCAATTCTCTTAGGGTGGCCTTCAGGATACAAAGATTCCTGAGTCATTTTACCTGTTCTAGTAGCCACTCTAACAGCATAATCATTATTCTTACTATTCAATTCATTGAGCAAATCATTTTGAGCCTTGAGTACTTGTTCTACTTGAGTGGTAACCATAGAAGCATGTTTACTAATAAGTTTAAGTTCACCTTTGACATTAGCCATATAATCACCCAAGTGTTCAAGCATATTTGAATTGTATTTCAATTGTCTACCAAAATAACCATTAAAATCTTCTTGCTTCACCATAAAATTATCAAACTCATCTAAGCATGGGCTAGCAAACTTAGTAAGAGGGATTTCAGCTTTATCATATCTATAGAGAGAATTTACCTTTACTATCTGTATCGGGTTATCAAGACCATGTATTTCTTCAATAGGTAATGGATTAAGATCATATGTTTCTTCAACAGGCGGTAAATTAAGACCGTGTATTTCTTCAATAGGAGGTAAATTCTTAACATCTTCAGCTTTAATACCTTTTTCTTTCATAGATTTCTTTGCCTCTTGCATATCTTCAGGACTGAGAAATAGAACACCTCTTTTCTTCGGAGTTGGTTTAGGAATAGGCTCAGGGGTTGGCTCAGGAAGTGTCCAATTATTTTCATTTGTCAACATATTATTCAATAGAATTTTAGCTTCATCCGGTGTTCTTTCCCTAAAAACAGAACCAACACAACTATCCAGGCAATCTCTGGAAGCATCGGTTAGTCCATTATAAAAGATATCAAGTATTTCATTTTTCTTAAGAGGGTGATCAGGCAAAGCATTAAGTAATTGGAGAAGCCTCCCCCAAGCTTGTGGGAGAGTCTCTTCTTCAATTTGCACAAAGTTGTATATATCCCTTAAAGCAGCTTGTTTCTTATGAGCAGGGAAATATTTTGCAGAGAAGTAATAAATCATATTCTGGGGACTACGCACACAACCATGATCAAGAGAATTAAACCACATCTTAGCATCACCCTTTAATGAGAACGGAAATATTTTAAGGATATAAAAGTAGCGAGATTTCTCGTCATTAGTGAACAGGGTGGCTATATCATTTAATTTAGTAAGATGTGCCACAACAGTTTCAGATTCATAGCCATGAAAAGGATCAGATTCAACCAAAGTAATATATCAGGATCAACAGAGAATTCATAATCCTTATCAGTAACACAGATAGGTGAAGTAGCAAAAGCAGGGTCAGGTCTAGCATTAAGAGATTGCTGTTTCCATTTAGCTAATAACTTTTTAAGATCATATATATCCTTGCAAGCAAAAATAGCTTTAGCAATTTCTTCATCCATAACATAGCCCTCAGGAATAACAGGCAATTCATATTTATTAGGGGAGAGTCTTCATCATCACTTTCATCAATATTATCAGTTTCAATAATTTCATTCTCTCTAGCCCTAGCAAGTTGTTCATCAAGAAATTCACCAAGTGGCACAGTAGTATCAAGCATAGGAGTAGTTTCATCATAAGTATCATGCATAGCATAAGTGGCATCATCAATAACATGCGACATATCAGAACAAATAGCAGAAGCAGGTTTAGGTGTCACAAGCTTACTCAAAACAGAAGGTGAATCAAGTGTAGAGCTAGATGGCAGTTCCTTACCTCCCCTCGTAGTTGAGGGATAAATCATGGTTTTTGGATCTCTCGAGTTCTTCATAATGATAAGCAGATATAAATCACAAGTGACTCAAAGAATAGAGCTATGCTCCTCGGCAATGGCGCCAAAAAATAGTCTTGATAACCCACAAGTATAGGGGATCGCAACAGTTTTCGAGTGTAGAGTATTCAACCCAAATTTATTGATTCGACACAAGGGGAGACAAAGAATATTCTCAAGTATTAGCAGCTGAGTTGTTAATTCAACCACACCTGGAAACTTAATATCTACAACAAAGTGTTTAGTAGCAAAGTAATATGATAGTAGTGGTAATGGTAGCAAAAGGTAATGATAGCAAAATTAATGTTTTTGGTATTTTGTAGTGATGATAATAATAGCAACGGAAAAGTAAAATAAGCGAGGAACAATATATGAAAAACTCGTAGGTAATGGATCAGTGATGGAGAATTATGCCGGATGCGGTTCATCATGTAACAATCATAACCTAGGGTAACAAAGAACTAGCTCCAATTCATCAATATAATGTAGGCATGTGTTCCGAATATAGTCATACGTGCTTATGGAAAAGAACTTGCATGACATCTTTTGTCCTATCCTCCCGTGGCAGCAGGGTCCTAGTGGAAACTAAGGGATATTAAGGCCTCCTTTTAATAGAGTATCGGACCAAAGCATTAACACATAGTGAATACATGAACTCCTCAAACTACGGTCATCACCGGGAGTGGTCCCGATTATTGTCACTTCGGGGTTGCCGGGTCATAACACATAGTAGGTGACTATAGACTTGCAAGATTGGATCAAGAACACTCATATATTGCTGAAAACATAATAGGTTCAGATCTGAAATCATGGCACTCGGGCCCTAGTGACAAGCCTTAAGCATAGCAAAGTCATAGCAACATCAATCTCAGAACATAGTGGATACTACGGATCAAACCCTAACAGAACTATCTCGATTACATGATAAATCTCATCCAACCCATCACCGTCCAGCAAGCCTACGATGGAATTACTCATGCACGGCGGTGAGCATCATGAAATTGGTGATGGAGGAAGGTTGATGATGACGATGGTGACGGATTCCCCTCTTTGGAGCCCCGAACGGACTCCAGATCAGCCCTCCCAAGAGGTTTTAGGGCTTGGCGGCAGCTCCGTATCGTAAAACGCGATGAATCCTTCTCTCTTATTTTTTTCTCCCCGAAAGCAAATATATAGAGTTGGAGTTGAGGTCAGAGGAGCTCCAGAGGGCCCATGAGGTAGGGGGGCGCGCCCCACCCTCGTGGCTAGGGTGTGGGCCCCCTGGTCTTCATCTTTTGTAAGGATTTTTTATTATTTCCGAAAAGATGTTTCGTGAAGTTTCAGGTCATTCTGAGAACTTTTGTTTCTGCACATAAATAGCACCATGGTAATTGTGCTGAAAAAAGCGTCAGTCCGGATTAGTTCCATTCAAATCATGCAAGTTACATTCCAAAACAAGGGCAAAAGTGTAGTAGATCCGATGGAGACGTACAAGGTGCAGCAAGATGACCCAATCTTTTTTGTAGCAAAGGACAAGCCTGGACGAACTCTTATATAAAGTAAAGCGCTCCCGAGGACACATGGTAATTACTGTCAAGTTAGTTTTCATCATGATCATATGATTCGCGTACGTTATTTTGATAATTTGATATGTGGATGGACCGGTGCTTGGGTGCTGTCTTTCCTTGGACAAGTCTCCCATTTATGATTAACCCCTCTCGCAAGCATCCGCAACTACGAAAGAACAATTAAGATAAATATAACCATAACATGAAACATATGGATCCAAATCAGCCACTTACGAAGCAACGCATAAATTAGGGTTTAAACTTTTGTCACTCTAGCAACCCATCATCTACTTATTGCTTTCCAATGGCTTCCCGTAGGCCCAAATAATGGTGAAGTGTCATGTAGTCGACGTTCACATAACACCACTAGAGGAAAGACAACATACATCTCATCAAAATATCGAACGAATACCAAATTCAAATGATTACTTATAACAAGACTTCTCCCATGTCCTCGGGAATAAACGTAACTACTCACAAAACATATTCATGTTCATAACCAGAGGACTATTAATTATTATTAAGGATCTAAACATATGATTTTCTACTGAATAAACCAACTAGCATCAACTACAAGGAGTAATCAACACTACTACCAACCCACAGGTACCAATCTAAGGTTTTGAGACAAAGATCGGATAAAATAGATAAACTATGGTTTGAGAGGAGATGGTGCTGGTGAAGATGTTGATGGAGATTGACCCCCTCTCGATGAGAGGATCGTTGATGATGACGATGGCTTCGATTTGAGTTTTCCCGACAAAACAACTCCGCCGGAGCCCTAGATTTGTTCTGCCCAAGTTCCGCCTCGAAACGGCGGCGCTTCGCCCCGAAGACTTCCTTCTTATTTTTTTCAGATCAAAACACACCTTATAGCAGAAGATGGGCATTGGGAGCCTGCCAGGTGTCCCACAAGGCAGGGGCGCGCCTAGGGGGATAGGGCGCGCCCTCCACCCTTGTGGATGGCAGGTGGCCCCCCTCTGATGCTTTCTTCGCCCAATATTTTTTATATATTGCAAAACAATTCTTCGTGAAGTTTCAGGACTTTTGAAGCTGCGCGGAATAGGTCTTTAATATTTGCTCCTTTTCTAGTCCAGAATTTTAGCTGCCGATATTGTCCCTCTTTATGTAAACCTTATAAAATAAGAGAGAAAAAGCATAAGTATTGTGATATAATGAGTAATAACAGTCCATAATGCAATAAATATCAATATAAAATCATAATGCAAAATGGGTGGCACGGACATGCAACTATGCGTGTGCATGCTTCAGAAAATTAAGATAGACCCGACTGAAGTGGATAGATGGATCGACCCTATAGTTTGTTCACGTTCATATCTCAAAACCGTGCACGCCGGATCTCTCTCATTCGTGGCTTGGGGGCTTCTTTCAAAGGAAGACATCGGTGAGAACAGTCTTGGATTGCGGCGAGGCCTTCAATATCTCCAAACCCTACAAATCATTAATAATGTGATTGTGCAATTACCAAATCCGTGAAACTAAAACTTGATCAAGATTGTCCCTTCTTTTTTGAAATAAAATTAGCTAGGGATTAATTATATAGTGAAGAAGATGAAGTAGATCGATGGCTAAGATGAGTCACTCACCTCCTTGTATCCGATGTGCACGGTCATCTCCTGGAGCGCGGTGAGATCCGTGACCGCGAAGGTGTTGAGCAGCGCGATGCTGGAGATGGCGGATATGGGCGACACCGCGAGGCTGTCCATCACCGTGTACGTCACGATGCCCCGCACGAACCCATCCGCGGTGGGCGCGTTCTGCGCAACGCCAGCCACGGCACCGGCAAGCGGCGCGTACTGGATTTGGGTCGTCATCACACAGGAACATCTGGGACATTTGGTGCCACTCACGTCTGTCACGTATTCGCGGCAAATGATGTAAGCGGCGTAGGAGGAGCACCTGTAGAATGAGAATCTGTTGGACGGCGTCGGGGCCGGCAGGCCGAGGAGGGCGCTGTTGGCCGGCGAGGGGGCCATGACCGGGCGGAGGATCGTGTCCTTGGCCGCGCCGGGCTGGACGTAGGTTCCGTCGAGAAGCTCGACGTTGTGGTAGAGGTCGCCGGCGCTACCCACCATGGACTTGCCGCCGATCAGCTTGACGACTGTGCCGATGGGCAGCGCGAGCAAGGAGAAGAGGAAGTCCTCCACGTCCTTGCCGGCCTCCGCAAAGTGCACGCGGCGCGCCTTGGTGTCGACGAGAAGCTTCATACTCAGTGTGGGGGTGGCAGCGGTCCTGCCCGTCATTTCGATCGGATTGACCGGGGGGTATTCCCCTTGTATTGTGTCACGGAAGGTCATGCCGACATGCCAGGCCAGGTTGGAGCACATGCAATCACATGACTCCCTCCCAACTGGTTGATATGGGGGGATGTCACCCGACGTCCTAAACCTTCCTGCATGACTGACTGGTTTGTGAGGGAGGTGTCATATCAATGTTGTGCATTGGGTATTTAAAACATTAGACCGCCCTTTAGTTGATATATCCCGGCCCCACACAGCACGGTGTAGTCTCCAGGCCCTCCCTGGCATGTCTCAACTGTCCGTGGCCCGGGCGGGTTTCGACACTTTGTATCATAGTCCTCTTAGTTATATGTGGGGATGGAGACACGATGTAACCTGTGCCAGTTTAACAGGAGAGGCACGTAAGGGAGCCGATGGTGTGTGTCGGCGCTCGGTTGGACGATGTCACGTCGTGGAGCGTCTGTGGTCAGGCCCCGGGGATGTACCCGAATCGACGAATCTCCTTGACAAATCCAGTGCCGTTTTCGTATGATTGCTTTCAGTCCTTGATAGGTCGAGTATGCGTCTCAGTTTTTTCTAACAATGATGAAATGAGATTAAAAGTGCGATGAAAACTAGCCTAGACAGAATGAGTGAGAAATTAGGGGAAGGAAAAGAAATGCAACAAGTAATTATAAGTCCCAACTCATCACTCTAATCATTTCTTGCACTACATATATTTTATGCGCCGTAAGCCGAGTGTATTTTATCAGGTACTCGGCTTACATCCAACACCGTTACGGAGCCATTAGCAGGCGGCGCGCGAGCCACGTGGCAGTTACATTTGCCGTGTATTGTTTCGTAAACCGGGTGCATTTCCGCTGCACCTTCGGCTTATATTGAGGTACGCCGTGTTCTGTCATTAAGCCGAGTGCCGACATACTGGATCTTCGGCGTACGTAGATGTAAGCCGAGTACGCGTTGTTCGTGGTGTGTCCTTTAAGACATACTCGGCTTAGATGAAAATAAGCCGTGAATCTGTGTTTTAGCACTTGGCTTACCGCATGATACAAGGCAATGTACGGATATCCTATAATGTATTTTTCTTTGGAAAAAAAGACGTGGCTATTTTTTTCTGGGACGGATTCAAGATAAATGACCAGATCATCTTCTTCAATCTTCTGCCGTCCTCCTATTCATCTCTTTCCCGAAACCACCCATGTACCACAGGCCCAATCTCTTGCCTCCTCCTTCCGCAGCCAGCAACGCTCCCGCGTCAGTCTTGTTGCACCGTCCTCCCCCACCGCCACACACTACCGTGCTGGCACCACCCCCAGCCATCCCTCTAAATCAATGATCATGAGAATTTTTTTCCAATGAGCACCCGCACCCCTCAACCTTCAGACTTGCCTCTGCCGGCTCGCCACCGGCTGTGGCACGCTTAGCTCGGCCGGCGCTGCCGTCTGGAGTAAAGTCTGTTTTGAACCCTGAGGTTGTAGAGCGCGACGCAAACAAACCCCGACGTCTAAATCCATAGTCTATACCCTATACTTGTCCATCCCGGTCAATTGTAACCCTAACCCAACTCTAGATCTGTTTGGAAGAAAATTTCCACTGGGATCACTTGTTTCTGTCACTGACCGCACAGGCCTACATGTCGCGTCCTTCTTCTTCCTCGACCTCTTTTCTTCGTCTCTGTCTTTCTCGTCTGGAATCCATCTCATGTGCAGCTGTCCTCGCGTTGGGTGGGCTTTTTGTCTCCTGGCAGCGTTGCTTGTCCTGGACCTCCGCGTCCAGCCACAGATCCCATTGCCACTGTGGTCCGCCGCCCCCAGGGTGGTCCAGCTGCATCACCTCTACCGCACGAAGGGGCTCCGCCTTGGCCGCCACCGCCAAGGACGACAGGGGCACGACCTCCACCCGCCCGTGACGACCCAGCGCCGCTGCCATCGGATTAGCTCTCCTCTTCACCAGAGCGCAGGCCGAGAGCTCTCGAGGGATCTTGCCACAGGTCTCGCCGCCGGGAGGGGCGCGGAGGGGAAGGCGGAGTGTAAATTAACGCTGCAGAGCTCTCTGAACGAGCGGTTCAACAGAAGTTCTCGACATGGACAAGGGGAGGGGATTGGAAAGACCGCGACGGCGGAGCAGAGCGACATCAGTGGAGGGACTCGAAGTGATTTCACCGGTGGCCAATTAAACCTGCAATTGGTGCCCACGCGGTCACAGGAGACGAGGGAAGGCTACTGACACGAGCAATTTGCTTGGCGTTTGACCAAAATTAGTGGAATTGACGTTTTATCCATGGTGGAGCATTCTTCTTCGTCTCCGGTGAGAGCTCCGCCGCGTCGATTTACCCTCTCTGGTGAGACCCAGTTCACAAAATTCCATCTCTTTTTATTTCTTGCAGTACTTGTCGTCGTCTTCTCGGTGTCCGGCACGCCGCGAGCAGACCGGCGCGCTCGTGCTGCTGCTGCGGTAGCGTGTGTGTCGCTGCTACTTGCGTGTGTGCGTGTGGATGATTGTGCTACTACTTGCATGCATCATCTGCATTGGGTGGAGCGCTGCTTACCAAGTTGGCCAAGGCTGCAACGAGAGGAAGAGAATTGAGATAGACGATGGCTGTAACAGCTGTGCCAAAGTAGTCAGTGAGACTAGCGATTGATCCTGGCCAGGATCATCTTCTTCCCGGCGCGCCAAACACGTCTAGGGTCTAGATTGATCAGGATTGGTGAGTATAGGGTATAGATTTCAGGAATTTAGACGTCAGGATTTGTTTAAGTAGTGCTCTACAAATTCAAGGTTTAAAACAAACTTCACCCCTGCCGTCTGGATGCTGCCTTGAGTGCTCTGCACGGCCACTGCTTCCTTGCCAAAAATTGGGCTGACCCGAATTTAAAATTCAGACGACTGACGTGCAGCTAAACAATAAGAGAGAGATTCCGATGTGCACGATCTTCTCCTGGAGCGCGGTGAGATCCCTGACCGCGAAGGTGTTGAGCAGCGCGATGCTGGAGATGGCGGACATGGGCGACACCGCGAGGCTGTCCATCACCGTGTACGTCACGACGCCCCGCACGAACCCATCTGCTGCCGCCACCGCGGTGGCCGCGTTCTGCGCAATGGCACCGGCAGGCGGCGCGTACTGGATTTGGATCGTCATCGCACAGGAACATCTGGGGCACTTGGTGCCGCTCACGTCCGTCACGTAGTCGCGGCAACCGCTGAAGGAGGAACACCTGAAGAATCTGTTGGAGGGAGTCGGCAGGCCGAGGAGGGCGCTGTTGGCCGGCGAGCGAGCCATGACGGGGCGGAGGATCGCGTCCTTGGCCGCGCCGGGCTGGACGTAGGTTCCGTCAAGCTTCTCCACGCTGCGGTAGAGGTCGCCGGCGCTCCCCACCATGGACTTGGCGCCGATCAGCTTGACGGCCGTGCCGATGGGCAGCGCGAGGAGGGAGAAGAGGAAGTCCACCACGTCCTTGCCGGCCTCCGCGAAGAGCACGCGGCGCGCCTTGGTGTCCACGAGGAGCTTCATGCTCAGCGTGGGGGTGGCGGCGCGCCTTGGTGTATCGAGTCAGCTCTCGGTCACGTTAAGCGTAAATGCACGCTTAGCACACAGGTGTGCAGGACCATTAGTTGTTCTCATTACATGCTGAATACGAAAAGAAGTAAAACTAAGGGCTAGCTCTCCAATTTCAAACAAAATAGGTGCTATCACCGACCGGCTGGTATAGCGAGAGTTCCAGAGGTGAACTGCCTCTAGATAGTCAGTCTCCATGATCACATGCGTGAAGCCTCGAAGTGTAGCAAGAAGGACTCCTTCCTTCAGCACTAGAACCTTCGCGATGAGAGGATCCGTAACACCCGATATCGGCTTGCACCATGCACCCTTGAAGCCTGAGGACGAGCGGGCAACACCTCCCGCTCCTGCATTGCCATCATCAAGGTGAACTGCAGCATCTGTATTGATCTTGATATGAGGATCGTCAGGAGGCTCCCAACCGAAGCCGGGTAACGTGATTTCCTACTGCCTGGGTAACTCCAAGATGGCTAGGTCTTCTCTAATCAGTCTGACAGAATAGGTTGGACTCCACCCCTCCTTGTCATGCGTTAATCGGTTTCGAGACGTCCAAATTGCCCACATCACCGTGATGAAGATCGCCTGTTCCTTGTCAGAGAAACGGAGATTGCATAGAATGTCTTTCGTCCAAGTCAGAGGATGGAGCCGAGGTAGATCAACATGAAATAACAGTCTTGTTTCCTCCCCAAACCTCCGTGCATGCGAACAATGCAGCAGTGCATGTTCCATGTCCTCATCCATGGCTAGACAAATTTTGCAAGTGCTGACCTGTCTTATGTGGCGGTGTTTTAAGGTGCATTCATCAGGTAAGATGCCCCTCATCACCCGCCACCAGAACACCCTCACTTTTGGGGTGACTTTGAGCTTCCAGATTGCGTTCCACATCTGTTGTTGATTCACTGAGATGCCGGTAACCTGCCCTTCATCTAGAGCTAAGTGCTCTTTTTGATTCACTAGAGCCCGGTACGCTGATTTAACAGAGTAGATGCTTGACTTCTCATGTGCCCATGCAAGGAAATCTTCACCAAGGAGAAATCATTTGTTTCCATCCCAAAACACACGGTCTCCATTGCTAGGCAAAATATTTGTTGTGATTACTCATCACGTTACGTGTTTTTCTTTTGAGGGAAAATCACATTACGTGTTAATTAAGGGAATCTGTGCTTTATTCAAACTGCCGTACGGTTGCGCCCCCCAACATAAGCAAATATTGGTGGGTGGTCAAGGCAGGCAAGACTATCTTGCATGGAACTATACTAGCAACGGACAGTTTACTGTCAGATCTGCGTATCACCTCTGCATGCAGCTCAAAGGCACGGGGGCCGGACAGCCGAGTTCCTCGATGCCTAGTAAGGAGCACAAGGCATGGCTTGCTTTGTGGGAGACCAACGCACCTGCTAAGGCAAAAATTCATGCGTGGCGTCTGTTAAAAAATGGTCTCGCTGTTGGAACCGAACTGCACCGGTGTAGGATCAAACCTGGGGTGTTATGCTGTGCGTGCGGACGGGAAGAAACAACATACCACAGATTTGGGACGTGTCCCCACTCGGTGTTATTCTGGAGGTCGCTTTGTGAGGAGAAGGCCGAGCCCGTGGTCCTGCCGCCAGCACTGGATGGATCGCTGCAAGTTCTTGCTGCCTGGTTCAAGGTGTGGCTTGCTAATGCGGGGATGGAGGAACGAGAGACAATGATCCACTCCCTGTGCGGCTTGTGGTGCGCGCGGAATGAAACGAGAGATGGCAGGCGAATCCGGGATGCAAGGGAACTGGCAGAGAGAGTTCACGAACACATCAAGGAGTGGCGGTCGGTTCACTCGAGGGAGCAAATTATCAGAGAGCCAAGGAGTTTGGAGAGGTGGAGGCCACCGGAGATGGGTTGGGTTAAAGCCAACGCAGACGGAGCAGCAACCAAGATGCAGGATGGAGGTGGGGGCGGCGTGGTCCTGCGGGATCACCATGGTGCTTATCGAGGAGGAGCTTCGGTTTTCTTCCCGGGTACTGTTAACCCCCAACTTGCTGAGATGCTAGCAACGAGAAGTGTAGTGCAACTGGCGCTGAGTATGAACATCCAGCGTCTTCACGTCGAGTTAGACTGCCAGGAGGTGGTGACCATGCTAAATGGGGAAGATAAGAACCTCTCGATTATGGGTCAACTGGTCGAGGAGACGAAGGAGCTGCTGCGGACAAGGCAGGAGTTCAAAGTCACTTGGGTACGTCGCGAGGCGAATAGAGCGGCACATGGTTTAGCTAAGGAGGATGTTAGCAACAAGACTTCAGATTATTTCCCTAATTTTCCCCCTGATTGCATTTTACATGTTGTAGCGGACGAGGTCCCAGACCACTTTTAAGTTAATAAAGTTGCGATTACCCCTGAAAAAAACATAAGCAAGGCAGCAACTCCCTCATGGCAGGTCTCTCCCGACGCCTCGAGGGATGTTGGACGCGGATAACCGCCACATGTGTGGCGTGTAGTAACACCCTCCACATGTTTTTTACACTACAATTGTCATAAAAAAATCTCAGAAAAATTGAAAAATTGCCATCCAAACAGAAAGTTGTCATGCTTCACAACCAAAGTTGTCATCCTCTTGTAGCTAAAGTTGCCATCAAAAAACATATGGGCGGAATTGCTTCGTGCCACACGTGTGGGCGTTATCATTTGGGTTTGTTTATAATGAGCCATGTTTTTTTAAATACGATACAGACGCAGGCACTCGTATATACGTGCGTACACTCACCCATATGAACACACATGCACACCATACTCCTACGAGCACCTCCGCACCTTGTAGTCGACGGAAATGTCTCCTCCCACTGAACACGCATAGTCGAAAATCCTGAAATAAATTCAGGATAATGCGAGCACCAGGATTTCAACCCCGATGGACTGAAGATATCACTGTCCTCCTAATCATCTAACCACAAGTTGGTTCGCTAATGAGGCATGTTGTGATAGTGCAAAATATAGATTAGAGAGAAAAGTACATAGCATTGCCATGGAATAAGTACATAGCATTGCCATGGAATATTTTGATATTTAGATCTGCATGTTCATATAGTGGCATCCGAAATAACCTTTCTAGTGTTTGTGTTAATTGATTGCAAACGGGTGTGTCTAACTCTCATGAGAAATAATTATGTCTCATCTAACTCCTAAACCATTGGATTTTACATGCAGATTTGTGGGGATTTTTTTCTTGATCTTTTTGTTTGTTTAATCAAATAGTCTAGGAGTTATTCGCAAAAATGTCTCATCTAACTCCTAAACCATTGGATTTTACATGCAGATTTGTGGGGATTTTTTTTCTTGATCTTTTTGTTTGTTTAATCAAATAGTCTAGGAGTTATTCACAAAAAAAGTAGAGTAGGAGTCAGAAGGGACTTTACTAATTATCATTTAGATGAGAATTTGCAAATCCATTCAAAAAATAAACATGTTATTTTCTATGTGTATGATTCTTATTTTACAAACTTCTGGAAAATTATATTGATGCGGGTGCTTTATTTGCAAGATTTGGAGGTCTTAAGAAAAAATCTATTAGATCAAGATGGTTAGAAAAAGGATCTACAAAGTACCCCCTTCGTTCCAAAATATAAGATCATTTTTGACACTATCATAATATAAAAAATGATCTTGCATTTTGGGACGGAGAGAGTATATGCTTGACACAATTATTTTTAAACTACTAAAGATGTGGATGCCCCGTTGCAACACGCGGGCAGCTACTAGTACCTTGTAATGGTTTACCCATAGTTCTCTTTGTTTTGTACTGTACAGAATAATCAACAAGAATCTGCATCACCGGAGGTTTTAACCTCCCTTTCGAAAAGAGGAAAAAAAAACTAGATTGGCAATTTGAGTAATGCACTCAGGTGGGGACCATGATTGTTAGAAAAAGCATTTAATTTTCAACATTATATCACATCACAGAAATTTCCAAACAAGACATCATAGTACGCGTTTTGGCCTATAACATTTGCAAGTTCCACAGGTACAAAACCGTCCACTATTGTCCAGAAAATGCGAAATCAGTCTTCAGCAGTAGAACATGAACTGCCTGACACTCTCCTTAACTTTGGGCAGTGGCTTTACCGGGACAGAGTGATCATTCATTCGGGTGCCGCCCACAGAAGATGATCCATGATCAGAGTGATTGTCATCCAGGTAGTGCCGCGCCCGGAAAGCCGCCAAGTGCGCGTAGTATGCTGGAGGAACTGTTAATTTGCAACAAATGGAACAGAAAATCAGCTGCCAATTGTCTGTTAAGGAAAATGAGATACATGGCTAATTGGGAGCGGCATCGGTCACTCAGGCAAAAGGTAGATATCAGACAATGCAAAATTACACATCAATACGTACCGATCGAGACGGACCGTGTGCACCGTGCGTAACTGTGAGACAAGCAGAATAGTTAGGTCGGCGCATCAGCAAGAGGGAATGATACTTTTAGCAAAGGATTGCAGCAAAAACTACCGAAAACTGCTTACGTGTAGCACAGATTGTAAGTCAGCGTTTGCAAGGCATCAGCGGTGAAATTATTGTCATCATAGAGGACATGGTAATGAGTTGGACGGCTCGTTCCCTGATAGGCACAAGCAGTTGCCATTACATTACTCCAATGTGAAAGGGTACTAAACTGTTGTATGCATCAGAGGAGAGAATAAGAATCTGGCGCCAGTAAGGATGGGCAGCTGTTACCTGAATGCCGGCGTGACTACAGAGGTAAAAATCAAATTCACTGGGATGGCATATCTTTGTATCAACAACGGTTCCTGACAACAACATTTTTAGTGAGTAAAAAACTCAACCAAATGGTATGTGTCAAGATAATTACTTGCTTAGCAAATTTAGTTTACCAGGCAGGATGTTTCCGCTTCGATCTGCCATGGCCCCTGAACGATGATCTTCCGGGAAAAGCCCTGTGTGATGCCGCTTTTGCACCACAACAAATGTAACTTGAGGAAGGTAACCGTTCTCTAAGCTAGAACAAGCCTAGGAGAGAGAAAACAACAAGATAAAATCAAATACAATTTCAAAGGTCTATGTTATTATTCTCTGCAACCAACTAAATAAAATCAAATACAATATAGAAACAGAGAGAAATAAAGGAGGCAAAAAGAATACCCTGTATATTGCATCCATTTCATAAAGCAAGACCTGGCTAAATTGGCCTTCACTAACACCATCTCTGCAAGGAAAGCAAATAAGCTCTCAGTACAGACAACAAAGGCGTTGATTCAGAAACCAGAGCACAAATAATTTCCTTCACTAACCAATAAAATATTATCCTTCCAGGTTTGCAAGACTTGTTTGCTTTATAGAAGGACAAAAGCAACTCTCTGCAACACACACATTTATACACAACGAATATTATATTAGGAAAAGAACAACAGTAACAGACACTGGCATATCCAACGTTACCTTATCATTCCACCATATATAACCCCCTTCTGTGGATCTTTCACTTCTGTGAAAAGGTCAGCTATGATTTCTTCCCTATGACCTTGTGAAGACACCAAGCATGTGTACTTAGACACTTCAGGCCAATCCATCGACGCAACAACCTGTGAAAGCTTTAACGTTACTTTGCAGAAACTGGAACAACATTGCAAGAACAAATATGACATGATCTAGTTATACAATCTAGTAAGATACAGTGCATGGCTTTGAGAAAAGAAGTAAATGTTGACATGGTGTTCATTCCTAGAAAAAAAAATCTGGTACAATATGTCATTTTAGATATATAAATTTTATCTATGTCATTCCACAACTTTGAGGTAAACTATCTCATTTGTTCCCAGTATGAACTCATATTCCCAACAGCAAAAGAAGCTTATTTTATTCTCACAGCCTTTCTCAAACCCAAAAGTGTACAAATTAAAATGAAAGGAGCCCCATACCACTTCGTTTTGGACAAATCCAGTTGTAACAAACGTAATCTTTATTGAGGTTCAGTCAGACACTCACAAACTACTGATTATATACAATGAGAACATGCACCCACAACAGTATCAACATGAAAAGAGTTCTACAATAGCTCATGCATCAATTGACAAGAGTACATTTGCTAAATTTTCTAGTACATGCACTTCAATGATGAAAAAACATTAATCCTCAGAAAACTAGGACTCAAGCAAAATGATCTAAACAACGATGCTATAAGAGAAAGTATGAAGATTGACTGGACACTAACCGCTGCAATAGATGGAGACATATCCTCCCCAGGAGATGGGTGGGTCACATCTGCTCCAAATATAATTGTAGGCTTATCTGTCAACAGAGGTATCCCCCGAAGCAATGCATTTTCCAGTACGGTGTTCCGACCACCAACCTAAGTTAACATTGTCAGTGGAATGATTGACCTCCGAATTAGAGCCACAATGCATGCACTTGCACAGTTTATCCTACCTTAACATTGATCTTAAGGGCCATATTTTGTAGATACTGTGTGCCAGCTCTCTGAACATGCTTAGGTAAACAGCACTGAGTTATTAAACCAAGCACAATTTCACAAAGCCGCTTTACTCTTCCTGTATATGCACGAAAGGTTACTACAGCACAGCAAAAAAAAAAAAAACTCCCATCACCCTGAAAAGCCATTTGATGTGCTTACCATAACAATCACTTGCATTAGGTCCATCAGGTAATACTACAAATAGTAACTCAAGGTTTTGTCCTTCCAAACCTTGCTGAGCAAGTACTTGGGCAGATTGTCTATATATATTTTTTACAGCTTCTAAGTTACCCTGGCGTGCCTGAACAATGTCCACACACGGTGTCTCACTTACTTGCTACATCAAAAGAAGAAAAAGATAGTCAGATCACCCATACATTATATTATAAACAGCATTGTATTCTGAGTTGTGAAAGTTTTTTTTACCATGCCCATGTTATTGCACGTGCCAACCAAATAGTTGCAGAACACGCTAACATCATTCCATTGCAACCGAGAGCCAAATGAAACACAGGCCCAGTGCCTGATGGACCCTCCATTTATCATTCTCTGAAAATGCAAGTTCATATTTTAACTCAGAATATAAAAATATCATACCACCAAATATGTTGAAACATTACCATGACCAACACAAAACGTTTTTTTAATGATTTCTCCATGAAGATAATTACAATTGTCAGCAAAAACGAGAAGAAAAAGAGATGGTCTCTAGAGGGAGATGTGTTACCCTGACTAAGTATCAACTAATAAGTACATATGCCTTAAGAGACCACATAACATTGTCATTGCACAAAGCCACAAACTGCCAGTAGCAATTATATTGCTTGTGAAAACAGAATTAGTTGCAAATTAGTGCAACTGAAGTATTTAAGAAGATGATTAAAAAAAAGATAAATAGCTCAAAATACCTTGTTATTCATGTTCCACTGTCCTACCGACGGATTGCATATTTGTTCTCGTCCAGACTGATGGTATTTAAGCTAAAAAAACAGAACAATTTCATGAGGAGACACTGCGCTCAAAGTTTTAATGAGATTATTCTTTAGTATAAATAAAAAAACATGTACCCTTGGAGGAGGCAGCACACGAGCATCGACCAATGCTAGTTGGTTCATCACCTTAATTCCAAATTCTTTTGCATTATCATCAATGCCATAGTTGTTTCTATTAATAACCTGATAATATAAAATGTATATCAATTTTAAAATAACATAATAAAAAAGCACAAGACAAGAACAAAAACTGTATATCTAAATGTAAACAACAAAGAGGTCAAATGTGAGCAACTAACAAATTCACCCCCACTTAACATACAAATAAATAGATAATTCACCTCCACGATACTACCCTCCCTTTTATCTGGCCGCTCACATGCCAACCTCAATATGTTTGTGACTTGACGCTCATTTAGCTTTCTCGAATAGCGTTGTCCTCCAAGTATGTTGCAAACCTGCATACAAAAGGATAATTCTAATTACATATGGGTGCATCAGACAAAACCTGAAGAAGTTTACATATATAATTATGCATATGTATCCGCCCTATTAATTGGTTTTAAGCAATCAGATAGATCAGGATTCAAAGAAAAAGGAAACCTCCATAGGCAAATATGTTGGCCTGCTATCACTGCCAGCTTGAGGCATGGCCACTGTATATATTTCAAAGAGTAATCATATTGGCGTATAAAGTACTGGACAACTGATACCCTTGTCCCATCTAGGTCAAATCTGTAAAAGGCGAACAAAATTATGTAAGAGTATGGCATGATATAATAAATGAAATGCGATGCAACTAAAGAAAACGATGAGTAAATTTAAAAAAGAGGTAAGAAATACGTCAATTCATTTAGCGGAGCTGAGGTTATCCCAGTAATTTTGTAACGAATGGATATATCAGGTCGATGCGTTGCCACAACTCGGACTCCCTTGAGGGCTTTCTTTAGCTACAAAGCAGAAAAGGACAAAACAGGATCAACTTCAACCATTATATTTTGGTACAGTAAAGAATGACAAAGGATGCAAATAAAGCTGTGTCATGGTACATACTTTCAGGCGATCCTGGTCAAACAAACGCCTTGGAGCATCACCCCGGATGTTAAGATATTCCAGTGCAAAATCCATTACTGGTTGAGCTTTGTAAAATGCTGTTGCAGAAATATCTGCATGAGGAAAATATAAAATTCATCAAACAGACAAAGGATTTTAAATAATGAACTCCAGAGCTTCATACTGACGATGAAGTTTGAAAAAGCGCTTAAATTAATATGAAAACTGTGGAATGTGTACTTTCGGTTTCACAAGCAAAGATAGATCTTGCAATGATATGGTTAGTTTATAAGAGATGGGTGCGCCTCCCTCCGTTCATTAATATAAGACATTTTTGCTTTTTCTTGATTTGTATGTATCTAGGCACATTTTAGTACGCATGTTCACTCATTTTAGTATCATGTAGTCAATATTGAAATAGCTAATAGGTCGTACATTAGTGAACGGAGGGAGTACACACTTCTGTCATGAAGAGAAGAACAACATCTTGTGCAGTAAGTTATATTATAGGTAGAAACCAGTATGTTACTATACCAATATTCAGTGACAATCCCATCTGTGTAGGGCGCAGGCTCTGATAATACCCTCGCCAGCATTCCACCCCGCTGCCAATGTCACCACCATGTCCAAATGATTTTGAGAAAAATGATCTTGAGATGGGTGTATACCTGTCAAAAATTAGCAAGCAAAATAAATCCATGTATGCTCAAGCAATAGGAAGACACGCTCTGCCAATAAACATGTGCTGTTCTATATGAATCAAATATCTCTGGACACATTACTTTGCAGTGGGGGTTTCCCTCAGAGCGATATCAAGAGCCTGGATAGTGTCCTGCGGCAGTTCTCTCTGCCTACCAGCCAAGGATTGCTGAAGATTGTATAGATTTAGTTTTGCAACTTCCTTTATGGTGACCTTATACTCCTTTTCCCTGAAAAAGAGAAGGATTAACACAAGTGATACATAAATTACAACTACATAATAAAAATGGAAAACATCATACCCCTGGTATCCTCTCTCGGTATTTGATACTTTGACAATAAATTCTTTGGTTTTAAATGGCAGTGGAGCTGCAGTAAACATTCCCTTTCTTCCATCATAAACAGGCAATCTCCCATCCAAATGTTGTTTATGCAATCTAACAAGTTCATTGATTATAGATCTGTTCCTCTCACGAGCCATCGATTCAGGACTGATTGATACCTATATCAATAAGAATATAGCAATTGCTATTCAAATCAACCGGCGTCATGAGATAAAAGAAAGATTATAATAACATCTTTCAAAGCATTTAACAACAACTGAATTCCCAATACTGAGAAACAAAACTATGTAAATTGATAATTGATTTGACATATATGATCAACTATTCGACAGAGTACAGATGACACACCCTTAGGTGTGTTTTGAGAAAAATATATTCAATGTAGGCAACTCAAAAAATTGTAATAAACAACATAAGAATGAGAACAGGTAAATCGTGTTTTCCCTACCAAATTTGCATATCAGATTAGGCCAATGTGCCGAAATTTCGTTAGACTTAATTCAACCTTTTTTATGAAATTTGATAAATAAACGAATTAAGTTGGGCCCTGATTCAGTTTTCACCACATTTTATTTGATTAAACCGTAAATGTTTTGGTAACCACTGGAACCACCAGGTTTTCATAAATCTCTGCCAAAGTGAATCCTGCTGATGTCTAGGCTGTAATTATGGTTCTCACTTTCAGTGTAATTTCAGAAATTTCATTCATTTCAGTACATACTGAAATAATTGCCTTTCGGTCAAAATATTTCAGCAATTTTGGTAGTACATAGAAATTCAAATTATTTCTTTAAAATTTTAAAATATTTGCTTGGATCTTAGTTAATTCAAGTTGAAATTTTGGTCACTTCGCCGAAATGAAAACCGAAATAACTAAATTAGTGATTTCCGCAATGGCCGAAATATTCCTGAAACAGGAACTCAAAACTCATGCCTGCACTACAAAATTGGGTGATCGATGTATGTGGCAAAACCACTTCCAAGTGACCTTAAACTGACCTTGATTTGCAAAATTAGTCCAGCATGCTAATCAAATTTACTGCAAATTAAGGTGGATGTGAAATGAACATAAACTCCTAGTCCTCTACAAGCTATTAGGGATTAATGCATTGCCAATGATAGCCATGTTCCAGGGGTTTTAAAGCTCACAATATCTACTTGTAAGTCACCTGAAAATAGTTTTTGGGTCAGTCGATTTTGGAAGGAAGGAAGGAAGAAGCCGCCGGAGAGAAGGAAGATGCAGTCCTCGGCTCACTGGAGAAGCCCGTTGGGTCTATCTTAGAGTGGCAGGCGGCCCCACTATCTATCTTAGGCATGTTGGGGGTGGGGTGTGTAGGTTCGCCGGAAAAAAATGGTTCATGGCCGCGGTTAGAGGGATGGCCGGGGGGCGGCGGCAACACGGCGGCGGTTGGGGGAGGGCGGGGCAGAGAGGCTGGCCCGGAAGCGCTGCCGGCCGCGGGCGGTTAGCCCGGTGCTAGATCCGCGGTTCGAGGTTGAAGAAGATGAACAATGAACCGTGTCGGAGGTTGAAGAAGCCGATCTGGTCATCCATCTTGCATCCGACGGCTCACAGCGAATCGACTCACCCAAATTGGATTTTCGGTCACCTGAAATCTAGCCAATCCTCTTGAAAGCTCAAAACCTTGCCTAATTTATGTTAGCCCAGAACTACTCGCTAGCACTCGAGTACACTGATAGATGACCGGCGGATGAGCACACACACGTACTACTTACACACTCACTAGTGTATCTCACACACACGTAGCAGCAGCAGTAGTAGTAGTACACAACACTTGAGGCTTGGAGCACACACGGTGGTACTAGAAGGAGGAAATGCCTTGTATTGAATCTGAATGGCCTTAGTTACAACCGAGGGACTCATGTCCTTTTATAGGTGATTCAACCGACTATGGCAGCTGAGATATTTCTACTCCTGCCCACCTCATCACATACATGTACCAGCCTAGACACTAGGTACAGCTCAACATTAGCTACCTAGTTTACCTTAACTACTAAGCAACGCAAGTGTTGCCGACCTGCCGAACCGCTTATTTACTTCTTAGGTAAGCAATTTTACTACTGCCGCTGGTGCTGCATGCTGCCGACATGCAGCTACTACTATCTTCTATCACTTCATAGCTGAGTAATAACTACTACTGCCGTTGCATGCAAGCTGTTGCTGCCGCTGTAGCCATGCCTCGGAGACAAGGTTTGACCCAACAATCTCCTCCTCAACCTTGTCGAAGGAGCTTGTTTCCATGATCCCAATCTTGTCGCGTGGTTCCTGGAACCGAATGCGATCAAGTGCCTTCGTCGGGATGTCCGTCTTCTCAGGCTTTGTGTAGCCCATACGCCTTACTCGTGCTTCTTGATCTCGGGATGCTGCGGTCGTCCCGCAGGTTCGCCGAGAAGGTCCACCTAGGCTTCGGAACCTGTGTGGATCGCCACAATTTTTGTTGGCATCTAACAAGTCCGACCGCGATGTTGGCAGGGACATGAACTGCCAGGGAACCACCTCGCCTGTGAGCGTCAGTGTTCCTGGGGTCGTAGTTCCTGACGTCACAATGCCATGGAACTCCCTTCCCGCGGTCATCGTGTCAGACGTCATGCTACCCGGGAACTCCCTTCTCGGGGATGACTTGTCGGACATCGCACTACCCAGGAACTCCCTTCCTGGGGTCGTTGTGTCGGACGCCGCACTGCTCGGGAACTCCCTTCCCGGGGTCGTTGTGACGGACGCCGCACTGCTCGGGAACTCCCTTCCCGGGGTCGTTGTGCCGGACGCCACACTGACCGGAGTGGCTCCTCTCAGGGTAGCGGAGTCCTTGGTGCTCTTCCCATCAGACTTCCTTGTCGGGTCTCCCCTGACAATCGTGAGTCGTGCCTCCCGCACGGACTCGATAGACCCCGAGTGCGTCGGGGCTGCGGTGTGGCCGACCATAGAGCACCGTGCCTCCTGCACGGTCTCGACGGTCGCCACCAGCGTAGCCGGGTCGTGCCCAACTACAGAGTCCCGTGCGTCCCGATGGACCCCGAGCGCGTCGGGGTCGCGGCATAGCCGACCAGAGAGTGTTGTGCCTCCTGCACGGACTCTATGGTCGCCATAGTCTCGGTCGAGGCCTTGCCGCCCCATGACCGTCTCTTCATTGCCTTCCAGTTGAGGCTTGTCGAAGAGTGTCGTGTTGCCCACACGGGCTTGTAGAACCCCGAGAACCTGGTTGTCGGGGTGTGGCCGACCTGAGAGTGTCGTGCCTCTTGCACGGTCTCACTGGTCACCAGCATCATGGTTGGGATGTGGCCCACCATATGCGTCGTTGCCGTGCCTCCTGACACGGGCTTATTGGGTCCCGAGGATGTCGGGTACGCCTTTGCCGTGCCAACTTGCACGGGCTTGTCGGGTCCCGAGGATGTCGGGGCCGCGATTGCCGTGCCAACTTGCACGGGCTTGACCAGCGTCGCAGGGAACGTGGTTGCCGGGGTGTGGCTTCCCCACACCCGGGTCTTCATCTCCTACCAATCGTAGCCTCCCAGAACGTTGTTGCCGAGGAGAGCGCT